TCTCCATTGATAAGAATGTTGTTTATTGGTCCAGTGGTGAGGATTTTTGTTTTCTTTGGGAAAATATTAAGGCTTTCTAATTCCATAAAGAAGGAGCTCTAGTAGCGTAGTGGTTTTGAATCGGACTGCTAACCACAAGGTCAGCAGTTTGAAACTAACAGCTGTTACACGGGAGAAAGATGAGGCTTTCTGCTCCCATAAAGATTTACAGCCTCGGAAACCCTGTACAGGGCTGCTATGAGTTTGAACCGACTCCTTGGCACATAACCACCACTCCCATAAAGATTTATAACCTTGGAAACCCTGTACAGTTTGCTGTGAGTTGGAACCCACTTTACAATACACAACACAACAATCTCTGTTTTCAGTAAAGTTATTTCCATGTCTTGTATCTGTATAAAACTTTAGTGATACACAGTACATTCTGTTTAAGTAATCTTCTTGTATTATAGTAAACCACCTTTAAGTGGACTTTATTTTTCATCAAGGCAAACATCTAGTTACAAAAATGAAATGTTATTTTATAAATACGGTAACTTATTCTTCAAAATGCATGCAGCTTCTTTAATTACTGCCAGATGATTGAAAGCATGGAGGGATTTTCCTGGTCTGCAGAAGTTGGGGCTGGTATCAGTTGGGCTATGACTTTTAGCACAAAGTGATACATTTTTCCTTTCAGTAAAGATCCTTAGGAGTCTCTTAGACTGTCTTTAAGAGACACAGAAAAGTATAAAGTTGTTTTTAGTAATCCATCAGATGGGACAGGAATAAAGATCTTTTACCTATATTTCCCTATATTCAGGAATATATATTTCCCAGTAAGTAAAAAAATAAGTTTCATATAATTGTCAAAAGATTTCAATTTTCATTTCATATATACTATTTTATTTAACTTTGAGCAGTTTAAAATTATTGCAGTTTTAAGTACAGGCAGTACCTGGGTTACAAATGTAAACTAACAGAGGACTATGACATCTGCCCTCACTTTGGAGTAAGAGCACCACATATTTAACTTAGGGCTCCCAGGCTGTTCAGATGGAAGCTATGCTGTCTGAAACCAAGACTTGACTTTCAACCCAAAGTAACTTCTGCATCAAGAAGTGCAGCCTGTTGTTTCTGTTGAGTCTCTGTAGCCTGAGAAGATTACTAAACAATTTGATTCAAATGTGACTTTGTTTGCTTAAGAGTGTAGCTTGCTTTAGAAAATAGGGTTCAAGACAATTCTCAGAATAGATGCATACTCAGATAAACCTTAGAATTGCATCATGTCCTCCCTGAGGTCTCATGATTGTTTCAAGGCCAGATGAACTCAATTTTGTAACCATAAACTCTGTACAGGGTCGCTATGGGTCGGAACCGACTCGATGGCACTTAACAACAACAACAACAACCTGCATGCCAGTCAACCACTGACTTTATACTTAAGTTTCTTGTATTTTTAAATAACTCTCCTTGAGCTGTCTCCTTCTCAGATCACTTAGTTCAGAGTCCTCTGGACCTCAACTAATTTCTGATTTGTGGTATTTTTTCTTTCTCTAACTTAAAAAAAAACCCTCTTTGTTTCAATTTCAACAGAGACTCTAGTTTGGCACTGTAGGATAAGCATTCAACTGCAAGGTAGGTTTGAACTGCAAAGTTGGTGGTTCAAAATCCAGCCGCTCCTCGGAAACACTATACGGGGTCACTATGAGTTGGAACTGATTAGATAGCATTTAACAACAACAACAGTAGCATAGCGGATTATGAGTTGGGCTGCCAGTCACAAGGGCAGCAGTTCAAATATACCAGCATCTTCCTGGGAGAGATGAGGCTTTCTCCTCCAGTAATGATTTACAGCTTCAGAAACCATATACAGCGTTGCTTTGAGTTGGACTTGACTCCACGGCACACCACAAACATCAGTTTACTCTTTGACACTATAAAATGACTAAACCAACCCCTACTCACAGCAAGGAGTCCTGGTGTGGCACTGCAGGATAATGCACTGGACTACAAAGTCAGTTAGAATCACAAGATCAGCTTTTCAAACTCACCAGTCGCTCCTAAGAAGCCTTATATGGAACTAACCCAATGGCATTTAACAACGCACAGCAAATTCTTTATCACAATCACCTTCATTCACTGAACATGCAGCTTTTAAATCATTGAAAACACTTTGAACTTTACCAAAGTAAGGTTAAATAAGAACCATATTCACCTGGGAAGACTTACTTACAAATTCCAAAGACATAGTTAGGAATGAGTCTCAATCATAACCTGGGGACTGCTTGTAAAGGATTTATGTAATCAGTACTCACCGCGGGAGAAAGATGAGGCTTTCTACTCCCGTAAAGATTTACACCCTCGGAAACCCTGTACAGGGTCGCTATGGGTCGGAACCGACTCGACGGCACTTAACAACAACAACAACTCACTATATAACTATTTTTTATGTACTTATATGTTACTCATGGAGCTCTGGTAGCGTAGTGGTTACTAACTGGGATGTGAACTGCAAGGTCAGCAGTTCGAAACTACTAGCTGTTCCGCAAGAGAAAGATGAAGCTTTCTGCTCCCGTGAAGAGTTACAGCCTCGGAAACCTTGTACAGGGTCCGGTCGCTATGAGTCAGAACCGACTCCACGGCACATAACAACAACATATGTTACTCACTTAATAAGTCCTATAATGTTTGCTAAGAAGCCTTTGGTTGGTCTTTACAAACTACCAATGTTCTGGAATGAGATGTGATATTTAGTAATTGGGGAATTCTGTTTTTAATGCATGCCAATCATAAGACAACTCATTTCTGAATTTCTCCATAGATACACAATTCTTTGTGTTTTTTTTGACCATTTCCTATTTTCATCTTCTTATGAATAATACATGTGATTCCTGGTGTGGCGCTGTGAGCTAACCCGTCAGATTGCAAAGACATTTGAACTGCAAGGTCAGTGGTTCAAACTTACCAGCTGCTCCTTGGAAACCCAATACAGGGTCGCTATGGGTCAGAATCGACTTGATGGCACTTAACAACAACAACATTAATCATACACAGAATCATTTTGCTCATATGCTCCACTGATCAATCCTCATCATCTTACTCTGACTCCCAATCAAACCTCTTAGCAAACTAAGATATTGATCATTGGCTTTCATACAAAGCAACGAACTGATCTAATTCTACTTATACAGAGCTACAAATTCCACATGCAATGGTAAGGTTTTCAAACTTAACAAAACTTCAGTTACCTCTGAATTTCAGATAAATAATAAAGACTTTCTTAGTATATGCATGTCCCACAATTTTGTTTAAAGTATAATAAACCCTTGCAATATTCACTTATATTAAAATTCTTTTTCATGGTTTATCTGGAATTACGGTTGTACTGGGTACCCTTTATTTTTTTATCTAGACACCCTAAGAATTAACCTGCTACCTTGGAAAGAAGACAAGAGTTGCTCTTCTCTTTTTGTTTCATATTTGAAACCCGTGTCTCACATTGCACTGTAATGAATGTAGTTGTGGGCAGGCATTCATCCATTGATTGCCTGTGTCAATGTGCTGGCATTATGGTGAGCAGAAGAGATGGAAAAACGTTAAATATGTTCATCACTTTGGTCATGTACAGCACAGATGGGGAAACGTTTTTCTGCCAAGGGCCATTTGGATATTTATAACATCACTCTTGAGCTATACAAAATTATCAACTTAAAAATTAGCCTGTTATAATATGATGGCTGGAACTGCGGTTGCCTTTGCAAACCCAGACCATATGATTTTGAGCGTCTTATGCAAGGTCACTATGAGTTAGAAACAACTCAATGGCACTTAACAGCAATAAAATATGACCCTCGGGCCAGACGTCCCCCATCCCAGATCTACAGCAACATAAATTGAAGACATTGTCATACTTTCTTTATTACATGGCCAGAGAAAAATGTCCCTATATTATTCCTAACTCCATATGGGCACTCTTATTTTGGATCCCTTTTAACATCTACATGGTATCATCCCAATAGCTGCATTCAGTGTCTACAAATTCACAAACTGAGGGAAGATTGAGGAAAGATGAAATGCAATAGATACTGTTTAGTTTTTATCACCTACTTACCAGATGATGGAGGTGTAGATTTTCTGGAACTAGGTACTATGTCACCCAAGCTGGATAATGAGTTTCCTCCTGATTTACTAGAGTAAAACAAAAATTTACATTAAATCTGGCATGTAATTTTAGATCTGAAAATATTCCTATTGTTCAATAAACATGACTATTCATTACATCTATATCAAAATTTTAAATTTTATCTTTCCAAGTAGGAATTTTCTAGTAGGGATTCCTGGATTATTTGAAAGAGCCAAGTGGTGATTTTAGACTTCAAATTCAAGGTTTAATTTTTCAAAGTCTTGAGAGAAAGGAAGGGAACTAGGGTAATTTTTGCAGCCCTCAAAAATTATGGCCAGGACCACAGATAGCCAAACAGCAGGGATCTCCTTTACCCTCAGAGGCAATGTATACAAGTTTAAAGCTAACACCAAACTGGAAATGTGTCCTTGTTTCGTTCCTGTACCTCTACCTTAACTTTGGTTGGTTTTTTTTTTTTTTTTTTTTTAAATGTGTGTGTGTTGTTGTAAAGTTAATGCCCTGGACTGTAAAGTCAGTTTGAATGGCAAGGTTGGTGGTCCAAGCTCACCAGCTGCTCTTTGGAAACCCTATACAGGTTGGAACTGACTAGACTAGATGGCACTTAACAACAAAAGAGTTGAAAGCTGGAGCCTAAATGGAGCAATGATTAAGTACTTGGCTGCTAAATCAAAGGCTGGCAGTTGGAACCCAGGCAGAGGCTCTGTGGGAAAAATACCTGGTGATTTGCTCTCATAAAGATTACAGTCTGAAAATTATTTGAATTATGACAATCACTGCAAACAGTGCAAATGTTCAAACACATTTGCCCTTAACGTTGAATTTATAAAAATGCCAAATTACTAAATCATGAATCAAGAAAAGTTTTCATGATCCAATTGTTAGGATATGTATGAGAAATATTCCTCTCCCACCATCCAGATTCACACTGCACATTAATATATTAAAATCATTGAAAAATCCTGAACTTAGTTGGTCATGGGACTCTTTTCTTATATGAGTCAACTGGAAAACTATGAAAGATGCTGAATTATCTTACAAATTAAAAGCAAAACTCATTAAGAGTTTTGAGATAACTTCCAATCTTGACAAACTATATTTTATCTAACTGATACAGCAATATCTATGTATCATGCTTATAATTCTTAAAATTCTTTTTTAAAATGACCATTTTCCACAATAAAACTTAATAGCACACTAGAACTTAATATAAGCAGGTCCTTCAACATCCTGCCGGTAAAAGGGACACTTTGTTTCTCTACATACCTCTACTTTTACTTAATTAAATGTGCCATACAATCTGATGGTCCAGAATGACCTGGGTATTAATATAAATCAAATAGTGGTAGAAGTCTCAATACACGGAAGAATCTGTGTGAATGAAGTAAAAGATCTTAGGAGTTGTAGACTGGTAAGGAAGATGGATGTTCCAAACCAAAAAGCACATTCTATTTCACTCATTTGCTGACACTTAAAAAATATTCTTGTTAACAATATATTATCGCTGACAAAGAAATTTACATTATTATATAATGGAGAAGATACAGATCTAAAGAAAACAGAAGATTAGACATTCATATTAAAGATAAAACTTGCCCACAGCATATTCTTTCACATAGGAAAAAGCATACGATGTCCATGGATTTGTCTGCACAGGGTTCAATATAAAATTCACCACATGTATGAATGGGAATCCCTGCATGGTACAGATGGTTAGCAAGCTCATCTGATAACCGAAAGGCTGGTGGTTTGAATCTACCCAGGGGAACCTCAGGAAATAGGCTTGGCCAGCTATTCCTGAAAGATCAGCTACTGGAAACTCTATGGACCACAATTTTACTCTGACACACATGGGATTGTCATGAGTTGGAATTCCATGGCAACTGGTATATGTATGAGTAGTCCTTTTGATTTGTTTAGTGTGGAATAAATAACCTCAAGAATGCTATGAAGGATTATTCATCCCAGCCTATTACATAACTCATCCAATTGCTATCTCCAAAGGCAATTTTAACATGTTCCATATTTGTTGTTGTTAAGTGCTGTCAAAGTCATTGCTGAATCATAGCGAGGAGGTTTCCAATGAGCAGCTGGTGAGTTCAGAACTTTCAGTTCAAATTGACTTGTGGTCCATTGCTTATCCTATAGCACCATACTCTTTAAGTGCTTGACAGTGGAGAGAATGAATATACAATTGACTCTCAGGTGAAAATGAAACTAACAGGTGACTAGAGCTGCTATTTTTTAGTAATATTTTAGGATAACATGTCTCCATGCCACACTAGGCAGCTTAGACCCCAGGATTCCTCACCATGGCTGCTCAGGGCCAGAACATTTTCAGTAAGAAACAGGACTCCAAGAGCTCTTCTGCACTAACACCTGAATTTAAAACACTCTGATCTTGTTAGGTGCCGTCAAGCCAGTTATTGACTCAGAGTAACCCTATATGTTAGAGTAGAACTGCTAAGGTTTTGGAGGCTGTAAGGAGCTCTGGTAGAATAGTGGTTATAAATTGGGCTGCTAACTTCAAGGTCAGCAGTTCGAAACTACCAGAAGTTCCATAGGAGAAAGATGAGGCTTTCTACTCCTGTAAAGATTTACAGCCTCAGAAACCCTATGCAGGGTCACTATGAGTCGGAACCAATTCCACAGCACGTAATCACCACCACCAATCTTTATAGAAGTAGTTCACCAGATCTTTCTCCAATGGAGCTGTTGAGTGGGTTTGAACTGCCAACCTTTGGCTAGCACTTAACCGCTTCACCATCAAGGCTCTTTCTATAGCTTTAGCTGTTTTTATCGACAATAAGAGTTAATTTGATTGTCTCTCAAATAGGATGAATATCAGATTTTAGGATGATGTTTTTTAAAGGCAGGATATGTGATGTTACCAGTAAACTACATCAGTTATCTACTTTTTAGTACATGATAAAAATTACAGAACGCAGAGAAGCACAACACATGAATGACGGCATCATCTGAAGTTTTACACAGACGTTTGATGTTTTTTTCATACCTGGAATAGAATTTCCCTTGCTTGGCTCTCTGTTCATGCTGTAGCCTCATGTTTTCTAGTTTGACTGGGCTTGGAATGAATCCGATTTCACAGCCTTCTTTAACCAATCGCCCTATCCACCAGTCATTGTTAAATTTCTAGACACAAAATTGAGATGATTAAAGTTAGTATACAGAGCTTCAAATCTTCAAAAGAACCCTTCTTTAAGTTGGTTTTCTTGTACATGACCTGCTTTTAGTGCAGAGAAGTATTATGACAATCATAATCAATAATGTCTGAAACATCACAATTCAAGAAGCCCTAAGTTTTTTGGGTTTAACATGCAAGAGTGAAGTACTGAGGATGCTCAAAATTCCATCGCTGGCTTTACTCCTCTCTCCATCATGCTTCCTTACTTAGTACCAGATTGAATTACATTTCAGCTGCTGCTGTAACCAGGAAAAACAGATAAGCTCTCCTTGTTCTAAGATGAACAGCTCTTCCTAGTTTTAAACAGTTAGAAACAAAGAAGCATCATAGAGCTCTTCTTATACAATCAGATTAATTAGAAGTAGAAAGCATCAGAGAAAAATATTGAAATCTATGTTTAGTATTTTTCATCAGAACCAAATTTACCTCTGTGCAAATAGGTTTATAATCATTACAATACAGTTTTCACAGATTTTTTTCCTACTTAGGCTCACTTTCCCAATGTATCTCTTGTGGAGGGAACATTTATATCTATATAACTTTTTTTTTTTTTTTTTTGCAAAGGAACTATATTTTTCAGGTCTGTTCTCAATACTTCAAAGTCGAGTTTCCATTCTGTTTTTCTTTAATTTTCATGGTAGAAAGAGATCTATCACCAAGCCTGGGGCATTAGAGGAGAGGATCCTGTGATTCATCTAATTCCCCATTTTAAAGTGAGACTCCAGGCAGGCTATCTCTTCTGAAATTTTTTCTGTCTTTCCTTTCAAACTAACATTTTGCATCTTGCCATAGACTGAATTGAGTCCCACCAAAAAATGTGTTCAGTTGGCTTGGCCAGCACTGTGTGGTCATCTTCTAAACAATCATCTTCTATTTTGTGATATGCATTACAAATTCTAACCTGGTGTGTTGCTGTAGGATCAGCACTGGACTACGAACCACATGGTTGGCAGTTCAAATTCACCAGCTGCATCCTAGGAAACCCTATACAGGGTCATTATGAATCGGAACTGACTTGATGGCATTTAGCAACAACAAAATATGCTACTAAAGGGTGGGTTGTATCTGAATCAGAGCCTCACAAGAGAGTATGATTCAAGTCACCTGCCTTACTCAAGTCATAAGCCTTACTCAAACTGCACACTTGCTTGAGTCACAATCTTCATCTTATAAGAGATAAAAGGAGGGAGAATTGAGCAGAGAAAGGGACCTGACTACTACCAAGAAAAATGAGCCAGGAGTGAGTGGAATATGACACAGGGTCACTGTGCTGAAAACCTCCTAGACAGAGGAGGAGACCAATGTCAAGGCACATGGACACCTCCAAGGAATGCTGGGCACACAGATGTTGAATGAAGATAAGGCCCTTGCTCCAGAATCAACACACAGAGAAAGTCTTCCCCTAGAGCTGGAACTCTGAATTTGTACTTCTAGCCTCCTAAAATTGTAAGAGAATAAATTTCAGTTTATTATAGCCATCTATTTGGGGTATTTTTGTTTTATCAGCACTAGATAAGTAACACACATCTCTTTCTAAAAGTTAATGAAATAACAGGCTTCAAATGCCCTAGGATGTTTTAATTAGCAGTTATCACAGATGGTGCTTAAGAGTCTTGAACATAGGGAGCAGCTGAAATTTACACATTTCCCAGACAAGTCACAGACATGCTGCAAAGTAAAGTCTCCAGGTCCAAGAGACCTGTCCTCGCAAACTAAGAACATTATGTAGAGGGGATTTCTGGTCATCTGATAAAGTGTTCTGCACAGCAGGTATTTGGTTGGTGTTGACTCACAACAAACCTTAATTAATGGTGAATTTTTCCAATTTACAGACTGAGTCATTGTTAATGGAAAAGTAGAGATGCCGGGCATAGAGGAAGAGTAATGTTCCTGGTATCTGTTTCTGGTCTTGTTGGTTCCAATTCCTACCAGATCCCTTTCCAATGCAGAAATCTACCATCTAAGGAGGATGGAGGACATAGTTGTCTGATTTTAGAAGTTGTTCAGCAAAGGGAAACAAGATCATGAATTCTACATATTATTATTAAACCCATCTCACATGTTAAACTTCAGGTACAAGGAACAGTTGTAAGCAGGCAAGGTTAAATATTAACAGAAAAATCACAGGCTAAGCTGAAAAAGGATCATCTAGTCCATTAGTTCCCAATTTCTGGGCCACAGAGCCCAGGGGAGCTATTGAAGTTATTGCAAGAGGCTGATGGCTCCTTTAGACTTTAAAGAGGTATATTTATATTAGTAAAGGTTGAGAACCACTGATTCAGCCTGTAGATGTACAAATACAGTTATATGCAATGCTACTGCACAGCAATAAGAAATACAAAATGCTGTTTCAAAGTGAAAAATCATGTGGGTAGAAACTGAAATTATTTTCCTTACTTCCTTAACATGCAGAAAATCTTTTGCTTCAAATGAGATGGCCATGCCTGGCACTGGTACATCATCTTCGTGGGCAGCACTGTAGCTGACATTTGTTCGAACTGCAAATGCAACAGGCTTTGTCTAAAGAGGGAAAAAGAAAGGAGGAAAAAAAAATGTATGATCAGTGTTTCCTCCTCCACCCTCCTATCCCCCAATTATAGATATACATGGAATAAGTATTTTAATGGTTGCTTTTTCCACATTGGTTCTTTATCACAAAACAGTTCATTAGCATTCACAGCAGCTTTTCCTTACTAGAAAAAGGCCATTGTTCTCTCTGAAAGGAGGGTGAAGATGAACTACTGACAAGTGTTTCCAGCACAACAACCTGTAACAACTGGAAATCAGGAAACTCTAACCTGAATAACACATTCTGTTCCTTTATTCAGTATAGAAGACTTAATATCCTCCACCCACCCATAGATATCTACTTTAATTAAAAATCAGTGGCATAATTTCAAAAGGTACAACGTTTTGGAAGAAAAAAGAACCAGAGAATACAACTATTACTCATAACTGCAGTGACATAGGAAAGCAGTGACCTTCTAATTCTTTTTCCTCCTGGAGTTCACTCAGTCACAAACATGATAATGCTAATTAAGCGACCCTTCATTATTTGATACTTTGTAAAATTGCAGATAAGCATTTTTGTCCTCTACCCAGACAATCCCTGTTTACCTGCAAGTTGAAAAAATTTGGTGTGTTTCAAAAGAGTAAAACACAAGGTATTGTTCTAACTTCATTTGAGCTTCTTCCATATTTACAGGCAAGCAGACTTCTCACTCAGTGAGCTCCTCATCTAAACTTGTCTGGGAGGACAAGAGGACTGGAATAAAAAGAACCTGGCTTCATTTCCTAGGCTCCACAGTTAATACTTACTACCTGACTGCTCTCTAAGAGCCTCAAGGTTATGCAGATTCACCCACAATTTGTAGATCGGGAGACGAGTACACGGGAAAGAAGCACAGTATATGTGAAGCTGGACTTAGATACCAATTCTTGGTATCCATGACAATGTTCAATCATTCAAGAGTCATAGGAAACATGGAAACATTTTTTAAAGAAACATGGGGAATAAATTGGAGTAGAGATAACATTTAGAAATGGAGAGTGGTGATTATACAACACGATGAACAGAAAGTCATAGAATGGCCAAGTGGCAAGTGTTTTGTTTTTGTTTTTTCTTAAATGTTTTATTGTGAATTCTGTGATAGTTTACATGGGAGAACATTAGTTTTACATTTATTCTATCGTATATCGTCTCATTGCCATGGTTACAGTCCCCTCCATGCAGTCCTTCCCCCCGTACCCCCCAGGTCTTCAGCACACTGTCACTCTCCCTCTGTGGATCTAAAGTCTCCAGCTGCTCCATCGCTCCACGTCATCATCTCTGCCTCCATTTCAGGCATCACTGCTTTTCTAGGTAGGGTCCCACTCTCTGCTCTTCTCCCTTGATGGTCCTAGGGACCTCCGCTCCTAGACTGAAAAGTTAATCACTCCCTTCCATGCTATAAAATGTCTACCTTTACATTTCGAACCCTCACAATCAGCCCTGATAACAATTATTCAATATTGTATCACAAGAGACCCGTCTGCATTTCATTGTATCAGCCCCGCCTAGACACATTGAATACTACTCACTGGAGATTCTACCTTCCTCCAGGCCCTCTGGATCTAAGTTCCCTCTTGAGCAAGTGTTTTATATACCACAATCAAAAAGGAGCTCTGGTAGCGTAGTGGTTACGAATCGGGCTGCGAACCTAAAGGTCAGCGGTTCGAAACTACCAGCCGCTCTGCGGGAGAAAGATGAGGCTTTCTACTCCCGTAAAGCTTTACACCCTCGGAAACCCTGTACAGGGTCGCTATGGGTCAGAACCGACTCGACGGCACTTAACAACAACAACAACATCAAAAAGGTAGAGAGGGAAAACTGTTCATTAACCTATTTTCTTACTGGATTTTTTCCAATAAATGATGTTTATCCCCATAGCTGAAATCACAATACAAGATTTTATTTTGTTTTCTCACTACTATAGTATTTTCATGTGATAATATGCCCTGTTATTCAAAAATTTAAAATTTGTTTCAACCAGTAATCATCATTGGACATTCAGACTTACAATTTATTCACTGTGACTTATATTTAGCTGTGAAAGTCTTTGTGCAAAAGCCTGTCTCTATTTAGAATTCTTTCCTTAGAATAGCATGAACAAGCCATGATTCATCAAGATCTTTTCAGTTTTATTCTAAACAACAGTACAGATGAGCTGTACCATTTACAGTATAATTACTAGTATTATAGAAAGATACCCTTTTCAATTAGATGTAGTCCTAATCAGACTCAGCTTTACTGTTGTTTCCTGGGCAGCAAACCATCTATTTTTCAGGTGAGTTTCTGATCACTAAAATGTAGGTCTAAGAACTTTAAAAAAAAAAAAAAATTTGGTCACCATAATATCTAACTTCACACAAAGTCTTTCTTTTATTCCTTGGATGGTACAAAGATTTAAGTGTGGCACACATATTTTCTTCAGTGATGGCATTAGTTTAAAATATGCAACTCTACAGAGGACCCATAGAAAATCTCATCTTTCATAGACTAAATTATCTTTTCAAATATTTGAACAGAAGGAAGAGAGAGCATTGAATAATAAATAATCAAAAGAAATCAAAGGGGTCATAGATAATAATTTCATGTCCTCAGATGAAGACACTAACTCAGAATATGCTTCCTTTCTTGGTTCACCTATAATCGACAATTTTTTATTCCATGAGGAATCATCTTTATAGAATTCTATATATGGGAATCATCTTTATAGAACGTAACAGTAAGAAAGAAACAGAATCCTGTGTGTCAGTATATTTCATAGAGTATATTTCTATCATTAAAATGGAGAATGTCAAAGAAGGTGTAGGAGGAGATACAGTAAGGATGTTGTTGTTGTTAAATGCCTGTCGAGTCGGTTCTGACCCATAGCGACCCTGAACAGGGTTTCTGAGGCTGTAAATCTTTATGGGAGCAGAAAGCCTCATCTTTCTCCCGCAGAGTAGCTGGTAGTTTCGAGCTGCTGACCTTGTGGTCCACAGCCTGATTCATAACCACTACACTACCAGAACTCCTTACAGTAAGGATAAGAGTGTATAAGTTTGAGAGAAAGATTACAGTATGCTAACCAAAGGGGCCAAGTGACAATCTCACTTGATTCCCTGAACTCAAGCAGTGGATCTAGAATGATGAATGCCAGTCTGTTTGAGTCCAGCTGAATGTTTGTGGTCTGCTCTGTGGCCACTGGACTCAAAGCTATATTAGCTCCATAGTGGTCAGCCTACAGAAACCGACACGGACTACAGTCAGAGATGCATTTGAGGATTACACCAGGTGCAAGTTCTACTTTCTCAGACCCTTTCAGGAATGACCAAATCTAAGTGTGTTACAAAAACAATTGTTATAAAAACTTAAAAAACAAAAACAAAAAACCTCTTTGTTCATGAAGTAGAATAAAGAGATATTCATTAGTTTCGTGACATTATTACTGTCATTTTTCCTAGATATTGACTTAATTAATAGTGAAAGTATTGGTTACTGTGAATACAACAAAATATTTACTAAAGTTTACTAACTATACTAGTGATAGAATGCTGTTGTCAGGTGCCATCGAGTCGGAACTGACTCATAGAGACCCCATGCACAGCAGAACGAAACAATGTCCGATCCTGGGCCAACCTCACTACCGCCGCCAAACTTGAGTCCATCAATGATGCCACCTGGCTGATCCATCTCATTAGAGGTCTTCCTCTTTTTCTCTGACCCTCCACCCTACCCAGCATGACATCCTTCTCCAGCGACTGTTCCCTCCTGACTATATGTCCAAAGTATGAGAGACGAAGTTTAGCCATCTTGGCCTCCAAGGAGCACTCTGGCTGCACGTCTTCCAAAACAGATCTACTGGTTCTTTTGGCAGTCCAAGGCACTTTTAGTATTCTCCTTCAACTCTACAACTCAAAGGAGCTCTGGTAGCATAGTGGTTACAAATTACGAATTGGGCTGCCAACCACAAGGTCCGCAGTTCGAAACTACCAGCTGTTTCGTGGGAGAAAGATGAGGTGTTCTGCTCCCGTAAAGATTTACAGCCTTGGAAACCCTGTACAGGGTCACTATGAGTCAGAACTGACTCCACGGCACCCAGCCACCAGTGATAGAATAACTACTGTTAAAAACAAAATTCACTCAAATAATAAAATTAAACTTCTGATCATGACAAATACAGTTACTTAGACTTTCATACATCAATTTCATTTCTTAACAAAAAAATGCATTTTATTATGCCAAATACTGAAGTATGCCTTTCCATTTTCATAACAGAAACCCATCAATAGCTACAAACTTAAGAGAAAGATAAATAGCGTATGTTTTAATGTCTCTAATAGATTTGTCTTCAGTATCAACTACTCTCAACTTGCATTAGTTTTGAAGGAAATTTAAAGAAAAACATAAACCAGATTCCTAATACAGGAGACTACAGAAAAAAAGAGACAAAAATTTAATCAATTTTAAAATCAACTTTCTGGTGTTATACAATAATCGCCTATAAAACTATACTCTGACATAATTTTTAAATACCTCACATGGGACTGTGTCATTCAGTCTTACATAACAAACACTAGGGAACTAAAGATATGGGGCCTTACTTTCAGGAATAAGATCACAATTGCCCAGTCAATTACCACAAGGTAATACCTTATTTTCCAGTTATCCATTTCTCAGTATACCTGTACATATCATTTTTTTCTACTTTCAGTGATCATCAAAAATCTTTCTAGAATAAAGTTTTTAAACTTTATTCCTTTTATGTAGGTAAAATTTAATCCTGCCCTGAGTCTTGTCCATCTTTAAAATTAAAAAAAAAAAAATTCTTTGATTAATTGATTACAAACTATCAAGGGCAATCTGATGATTCTTTTAATATTAAAACATATCAAACCATGGTGATAAAAAGGAAGTAACAACTGGTTATATAATCTGATGACTGAACATTGGATCAGACTGAGTAAACAAATAATCACAGATGTGTCATCAGATA